CTGGCAAACAAAAGGAGAGAAACAAACAAATAAATCACTGGCACTTAATTCAAGGCAACTTGCATGAATTATTTTCATAGCTAATTTAACAATATTAGTGTAAGCACTGTATCAAAAAATAATTCATTTAAAACACTTAAAATCCATGAAGGAAGGAGATAAATGAGATTTACCGTGAACATATTTTTTAACTACTTTCTAACAATTTTCATGTACATGATTAAACTTAGAAAATAAACTGCACCAGCAATTGTATTAATACTATTTAAGCAATTTGATCTGAAACACATCTAAATACATAACATTCAGGTGTACAGACCAAAGCATTATTTGAGTCAAAACACAGATCTTTTCCTTCCTAACTTTCACTAAAATTATGACACCTCAAAAAGAATCAGTAACCTAGATACTTCCAGTAACTCTGCCTAAGGTCTTGAATAAACTAAAGCTACAAAAGCATTCATTTAGGAATCTACCTTAAAGCTTTATACAGCACTGTTCCAGACAGCAAGTTAAAATGAATCAGTAAATAAACAGGATTTTTTTTTTCCTGGGATGTATTTTTATTAGCTAGTAGGTGCTATACAGGTTATTTTTCTTAGCTCATCCTGAAGGTGAAACACAAATAGCTGAGCTTTTAATCTCAGAAAAGCAAATATAACATATATGAAGACTGCATTTCTCCTAAAATCTTACACACTAAAACATACACGGAGCTTACTCTAGAGATGTAAGAAAATTAAAGCTACAAGAAAGCCAAAAATTATCTGTTTAGAGGTGTATGGAGCTTAGAGCTATAAAAAGGCAAACATTTTCTGTTTAGTTAATAATAAGTTAGTAAAATCCCAATGAAAAGCTGTAGGTTTTATGAAGTGGAAGAATGAAGGTGTGAAAACCTGAGGATATCTAATTTCATCCTTCTTGGGAACAAAAATCTCCAGGACAGAGTTGCACACAAGTGTGATACCATAAGAAAAAACCCAAAACATATGCATAAATATATAGATCAAGGGAATAACAGTGCAAATTTAAGAGACTATTACATGACAGGACATACAAAAAACAGGTGTGAAGACACAGGTTTTTTGAGAAGCCCTTGGGTGTATTGGTCTTCTGTTGTGCCTATATACTAACTTTGATTCTGGATTTTCAAAATGCTTCTCCCTACATAAATTTCAGACACTACTGCAAAATACATCAGATAAGGCACCAGACAATGACTGCATCTTGCTTTTACTTTACTTTGTAATAAGAACATTAGAAGTTATTAGTCTTTGTTTACTCAAGGTGCTTTCTCTCAGATTTGATGAAGAATTCTTGGTGGGTTTTTGTTTTGTTGTTTATTTGTTTCCCGGGGGGGCTGTGGGGTTTTTTTTTGTGGCAGCAGCCAAATAATACTAGACTACCATGTAAAAATCCCAAAATGACTGTCTATCAATTCTGCTCTCTTTCCAGCTCAAAGCAAGATTCAGCTGTACAGCAACTGGTAGCAACACATTGTGGACCTGACACGTTTCAGCAGAGGAGGAACACCTTGCCTCATGGTGCATTAAGGGCTCACAAACAATGCATTTTCTGAGGCGCACTCAAAGCAGCAGCCTGCATCTCATCCAATGAATATTTAATAAAAGCATAAAACGCTCAAAGGCATATTTATTTGCTATGGGTGCTTGCTGCACAGGCATATTAAAGCAGCATGAATACCTACAATGGAGAGATGATAAAACAGATGCAGCAACCTGGTATTTGTACTTTGGTCCCAGGTATTTAATGACTGTACCACAAAGAAAAAAAAAAGGACATAAATGAATCAACATGCAAAATATTTATGTACACACATTATGCACTGCAAACTGCTTCTGAGCATTCAGACATGAAAATGTATGGAACTTAAGTACATGCCAGGCCTTTTTAAAATAAATTATTCCTAAACAAGGACTTGAAAAAGCAAGCAGTTAATCCAAGAAAAAACTTGAGTAATTCTTCAAGCAATACCCCTGCAGAATTCACTGTTAATTTTTGAATCCTCTCTCATTCCTTTTATCTTCAAAATATAGTCCATAATACTCAATATCATGAAATTAAAAATTTTGGACAAATTACTTTTATTTGCATCATTTAATTACATAATTATTTGATTGACAAACTAGCACTCACTTATTTAAAAACTGAATTTCACTCAGAAACACCAACAAAAAAATAAAACTGAGCATAGCATTTTACTTCAGAGGAAACATTTTGGTGAAAAAAACATGAACATTGTGGATAAGGACACTAACTGCATGATTTTCCTACCAAACTATCTTTTCTGCTCACCTGACAAACCAAAAATACCCATTATTTGCTGTTTGTATGCTGTTCCCATGCCATTAATTCAAACATAATTTTCTATGACAATATTATAGTTGGGCAAACTGCAAATATTACATAATTATTTGAAGCAGGGACAAGAATACTAATAAAATATCTCCACATTTCTCCAGTCTTCAGAGTAATGATTTCCTCACCAAAAAAAAAAAAAAAAAAAAAAAAAAAAAACCCAAAAAAAAAAAACCCCAAAAAGACCTCCTTCTAGGATCACTTGGATGAAACCTCAGGAATATTTGCCCTCAATCTAGCACTGATACTTAGGAAATGATTGGCCACTGCAGCTCCAAATCTGCCTTGCCATGCCCAGCTCAGGAAAACCAAGAAGAGGAAATCAGGTTACAAATCTTTTTCTGTGCTTTGTCACTGAAAACCAGACTTTTTAGCACACTGAGCAGAAGGCACATAAATTAAAATCTTTCAGCACAGGACAGAAAAGCCACTAAACAATATTGATAATCAACTTTTTTATATAAAAAAGATGTGCCATTTTACTCTTGATAGGAATGTATGTATTCAGAATGGACATTAAAAAATATCCATAAAACATACAAATGTTTTCTGTAAAAAAACCCCACTCAATCTGTTGCTACATTTCATACCACAATTTTTGTTGATCCTTTAAGCAAATTAAGAACAGGCTTCATTAACAACCAGTTGTGTAAACTGCTGGTTGTTTATTTTTTCAAATTATCACTTAATGACACTTAGAGAAACCATTAAAAATGCATAGCAGTCATTCTAGCCAGTATGAAGTGTTGCACTTCATTTAATGATTAAAATGTAATTACCTGCATAGAAAAGCACAGGATAATACGAACACCATAAAGGAGTTTAACATGTTTTTATTCTGATTTTTGAGTACTGTAAATTCTTGTATATTATGGTAATGAAAGTCCAGAATTACAGGAGATGCGCAAATATAGAATGGCACAATCTGTTTGTGTCACAGAAAGGATTTCAACAAGTGCTCTATTAAAGCACCTGTTGCTGCAGGAAGGGTTTGTTTCTTTTCCCCATTAAGTCAACAACAGTTTTAGTATTCAACTCTTTGGAAGTTCATTTAATCCTTACTCTGATAAAACACATGGAAGCAATACTTCCACGGGCCTTAGCAGATTTTACAGTCCTACATAAGCACTATGCTAAGCTTTATAGCACATCCACCCACCCCATTGGCAGTTTTACATCATAAACTAGGTCTGGCTGTATCCATAATGATTTGATCATGTGCCCATGCCTGATTTAAATCACATACATAGGACTAGATGCTCTGATCTTATTAGGTAGTAACAAAAATGGAACCATAGACAAGAGAAATAAAATTGCAGTAGGAGTAAATCAAATCTCTTTATTCACAGCTGCAATGTTCCTTTACATTAGAAGAACACAAAAGTTGATGAACTAAACCCCAACAACCCATGTGACAGACCCATCTAGTATTACAAAACCTGGTAGAATGCTGTCAATTGACCTGCCAAAATAATTACTGTCAAAGAGAAAATAAGCTGACACCACTGATACGCTACTTCTAAGAACCAAGTTACTTCTCTACAATCTTCAAAACATTAAATGTGTTCTGAATAAATAAATTATGCCAAACCAGAGTCTAGCATGTTCCCAGATGTACTGTTCAGTGCTCCATTTCACAACAATTTAAAATTCAAACATTTATCTGCTGCACCATCAACATATAAACTTATAAAGTCTTTCTGAAAAAGTAAAAGCAACTTAGGAAAACTACACTAAAACAGCACATAGACAAAACCACTAACAAGAATGACTGATACAATAAAAACAGAAAGCCTGAACTTCTGTGGCAAACTTTTCAGTAATAGCAGACTAATGACTTGCTGTTCCATACAAAGGGAATTCTCTCCACATGAGGTGTGCACTGTTGAGCCTGGAATGGTCTCAGGATGCATCATACACGAGGTTTCTCAGCACACTGCTCTTTTAGGAAGCCAGCCTTTACCTTTCCATTAATTCATTACTCTCTGGATCTTAAGATGAAAAATTACAAAGACTATAAAGTAGTTCTCTAAATGTTATACTGAATTTGACCTTTTTTGTTTCCCAATCGCATAATAAAGGCTGATAAGACTCCATCTAGAAATAAAACACAGGCACTCAAAGAAGAAACCAAAATAATACTGTCTAATTAAAAAATTAACACTTAAGTATGAAACCAACAAAAATGATGGAATTATGATAAAGCCTAAGAAATTCATTCTGAGAGAATGCGTTATCAGTTAAGGTTGAGTTAATTTTTACAAGTACTGCTGTTATTCTACACTAGCAGTTTTCTATTGCTATCTCTTGTAAATAACTTTTTTTTAGCAGAAGAATCTTCCATGCTCTTTCCTTTCTCACAGTCTTTTTCTTTTCCTTCCCAGCAACTATACCCCTTGCCCTCCAAACAGGTCTCCACAGAAGAGTCCAAGGAAGCAATTCGGAGAAAAAAATTGGATTCGTGATTCCAAATCCATAGCTGTGAAATATCTACATGTTCATTTCCTACTTTTTAATGCTCCCTTCCCTCTCCAGTAAGTACAGATTTTTGTGTCCCATCCCTTTGTGAGGGAGTAATTTCATTATAAGGTAGTCATGACTAGCCTAACATGAGAACAAAA